ATAATCACTTAGTCACAAAGTTGACTGTCAAGGGGTAATTTCCAAGAGAAGCATGAGTCTACCCCCAAGAAGCTGGGGCTTAGAGTGTTTTCAGCTCATAACTGAAAGAGAAGCATTTTCTTCTGCCCGAAATATCACCTGGCAGGAAAGAGGTGAGGCAGGAGTTTGCAAAAGTGACACAGCCTCCATTTTAGTACCTCTACAAAAACAGTGGCACCTGAACAGTGTCTGAGATTTCTACTATTTTATAGAAACTTGCCTTTTAATGAAAAGAATGAAGCAGCCCACGATGTTAAAAGCCATTTGTCCATACAAACTCAAGAGTTCCTGACCCAACATGGTGCCCACAACAGCTTCATGCTTGTAAGTAAGGAGAGAACTACTCTTGCAAAGGCATCTCTGGGATTAGAAAAGTTGTATTCATTCTACCCAGAAGTATAAAAGCTGGCCCTATTGTAATATTAGTAAAATCAAGGTCTTCACTGAGAACTTTTATTTTAAAATCACATCTAATCTACATCTGTATAATGTCATTCGTTCTTAAGCAAATGGCAATCAGGAGACATGAGTCTGCCTTCATGTGTCTACACGGGTACAAGGCTGCCCTTCAAAGTCCATATACACAAAAAGAGGCACAGCAGAATTTTCTTGCCTTTGGCATATACAGAAGTTAGTTTATCTGGCTTTCTAATGACTAGAAGTTTATACACCTGGACTCCTCATTTGCAGTATTAAAAACCATCAGTCTAATAACTAGAGTCCAAAATAATGGAAATAACAGCAGTTTGAAATGCTTGGTTTAGTACTATTTATCAGAATATTGTTAACTAATTGCTTCTTTTTGTTTTTGGAAATGGGAAGGTAACACAGGGAAAAAAGGGATATTTCACAAATTAAATGCATTTTGTTTGTTTACTAAATAAAGGGCACCACTCAGTCTTTTTCTCTGCATAAGGTAATAGAACATTTACATTTCCTTTACTTTGTTTTGAAGACCTCTTACTTAAAGTCACATAACATATTTGCCTGTTAAACTCTGCAAGTGGTGTTTGCAAAACAAATTTTTAAAAAAGTTCTCTTCACATTTAATGCAATTAAAAATGGCAAAAGAATAAGAGAATGAGAAAAAATTTAATTGCAATGCTTTAAAACAAATTTTCACAAGTGGAACCAGCTCTTTATATGCCTACTTTCCGCTAAACCTAACAAATAACAATTTTAAATGGCAAACTTATTTTTTACTATGCAAAATCCATCCTACGTTTTCATAACCTGCATTTTATTTTGCTACATAATAGTTTGTGGTTAATTTTCTAGTTTGATTTATTTAATAATATTAAAATCATTTAATATCTGATAACTAAATCTACATCTTACAGCATTATCATGGTTTTGCCCAGCTATATACATGCTCTCATGATCACCTTTTCTATTACCTTATGAACTACATACTAGTTAAATAATCAACATTTATAGATGGATGAATAATTCAAGTTTTGAAATAAAGATTAGTTAGCTCTAGAAAACATGTATTTACATCCTTCCCTGTCGGGCTGAAACAATTTTATTTTTCTTTTCACTTTGACACTTCAAAAAGCATTTGATAGCCCTTTGGACTTCATCTAGCAGCAGAACCTCACAGACCTTCTACTGATTTGTCCTCGGCTTTGGGAATATGCACGATCTTCATGTCATGTCCCACTTTTAGAAGGTATTAACACATACCTTATAACATTTAGAGCACTTCTCTTCTTTTCTGTTTCTCAATATACAAATAATCATTCTTTCTGATCTACTAAAAGAGAAGTTCATATTTTTAGTTTGAATATTTTAATAAAATATGAGTTTGCACTGTTTTTTAATTCAATTTCAAGAATATTACTTGAGAAAGAACTCTCACCCTAACCTATGACACAAAAATGTGGAAAACCAAATGTTACTCAGTAGTCCAAGCACCTCTTTATGGTGCAGGATGTTTTGTGGTTCTGGGTCTACTCTGATTGAGAGAACATCTTTTCTCATGTAAGAACCAAAGAATGGCTCTTCAAACAACCATTTAGTTATACAGTGTTTCCTTATCTGTAGATGGGATTCCCCAAGATCGGCTACAAAATTTGGTGACTTAAAAAATATAGTCTGTGTAACTTTACTACTAATTTTCCTCAAATTTACTTAATTGGTTCTGCATGTCTGAATTGCTACAACTAGCCTCTGGGATTTTATACTCTGGTGCATTTTGCAGGCTTCAAATGGCGTTTTAAAATTTCACTTTGCTGGGTTGAGTAAGTTATTTTTTGGAGCAGATAAAACAATTCTTTTCTTCCTTTCATACACATCAAAATATATTTTTCCAGGGGGACAAAAACAACTGAAATAAAAAATGTACTATAGGAATCATTCAAAAGGAACAATAAAGTGGTTTTTGTGAAGCATTTTGGGTCTTTTTGGATTACACTTGCATCTATCTCTAGTTGTTAGTGGTAGATTACCTGATGTATAAGGGTTTTGTGTTCTTAGAATGAAGGAAACTACATGCACTGAATATATTCTATTACCTTAACAGTAAGAAAATTATTTTTCTTTCCTTCTCAAAATAAGTGATTCTGTTTTCCATATTCCAGAAGAAACCATGACTATTGTAAATCAGAAGGAAAAAAAAAGTTCTAGTACCCAACAAGCATGCTGTCAGTGTTAAGTTGGTACAGAGTTATTTAGAAAGGGAGGCTTATATCCAAATTCTTACAAGAAATTATGTGAGGTCCCCTTTCTCTGGAGACTCTTCTGAATAGGTGAGAGAATTTGAAGCTGTTAGGCTGTAGCCCCTAAGTCATTCTGTGTCTTCAACCCAGAAAAGTTCATAGTTGAACCTCACTAGAAGGGGTCTTACAAACCTCTCCCTTGCTCTGCTTCACTCTTTTAGCTTACCTTTTTTCTCATAACTTAGTAAGAAACCAGTCCTGACACCTCCAATATTCTTGGCCAAAGACCAACACCTACTGTTGACTTAATGGTCAAAGTAGAATCCAGATAAGTCAATTAGCCAGTGAGGCATCCTTCCACCAATTCCTGTTTGGATAAAACTATCTTATTTGTCAGCTCTGGTAAATTGTAGGTTGTTTAATTCATGTTCCAAATGAGTTCACAGGAGATCTAATAAACAATGGATTTTATGATGACTGCTCACAAAGTAGTCCATAAAATCTTATTCCTTGAATTTATGGGGGAAATTCAAATGTTATTCTAAATAAATTGACTTCAAATCATTAAGTTAGGGATAATATTGCATTTATGTTGATATTCCCCACTTACACAGTGCTTTTAGTAGACTCTAAATAAATATCAGTTGAAAAAATAAGGGAGCTGAATGGATGGATTGACTTATTTTTTCAAAACAGGAAGAAACCTAGATCTCTTTGCATTTTTTTCCCTTTCTGTAAACTCTCTGCTTTACCAACAAAGATTTTTAGTCTCATTGATTTTTTTTTTTTTTTGGGCAGTAGACTTGAATTTGATGCCAAAATTTTAACATTTAAAAAAAATTAATTCATATGACTGTCCAAGCAGATTTTCTTAGAAAAGAGAGACTACCTGATTTTCTTGTTCCAGGAGACTCATTCCTAACATTTGTTCCCATTGCTCATCTTAGTAGGTATTCTTTTAAAATGATACATAAAAAGATGGTTCTAGAACTAGGATGATATATTTAAAGAAAGTATTATTATACAAAGTATCAAAAGATTAGTATGTTGGATATTAAAATAATTACATGAGAATTTTTTCACGTTTATTTACAACTTCTGACCCAAGAACCTACCTATAAACTGTGAACGTTTGTGTATTTTTTATTATACCAATTTATGTGCAAAGAGTTACCTTCTACTTAATATAAATAGAGTCTCATACTAGAAATTCCATAGAGTCAAGCCAATCTTTACTTACATTCCTTCACGTGGAGTATTACAAACTGGATAGCTTTCCTTGCGTAGCAAATGTGATATCATTTGTAGATAATGTGCTGGCCCTCTCACCATAATCTCTGGATACTGTTCCAAAGTCCTAATTTGCTTGGTTTGGCATTTCCACAGTCTTTCCTTATCTTAGCTCTTTTTTAAAAAATGTACTTTAATTAGTTATTTTGCTGGTTGCTTCCATATTGCTTCATTCAAAATCCAAAATGGAGTTCAGAAAGAGAACAAATAAAATTATAGCTTAAGTGCAAACTACGTTTCTGAGTATCTGCCAGGTAGACATACCCAATCCAGTGTCTCTTCCAGTTCAATGGATTCCCCATTGGACCACCCCTGAAAGTGTCAGTAGTTTTCATGAACCACACAGAACTGTCTCTTAGTTTCCCTTTTACTCTTTACATTATCAACTGCCTACGTTACTGTCATTTATGGAGAAGAAAATGTTGAAGAATGTAAAGGAAGTGGGGATACATATTCAATAGTGTAAAACATGACAGTTAGATTTGATGTTACACTTGACTAGTGTCTTGGCCTCCCCTTCTAAATTTGAAGGATATATATTTAAAATAACGGTCACTGCACCATATTAAAATATTTTTTTACAGTTCTGTCAATTTATAACAGCACATAGGAAACTTTGATGTAAAAATATTTCCAATCAGAAATTAAAGTAAAAATATATGGGGGTAAAAGTAATATAAAGGGACAGACCAAAGCAAAACAAAATGAATCAAAAAGACCAAAAATATCCCTCCAAACATAATTACTTGCTATAACTTTGAGAAAGATTAAGAAATTATGAAAGCGGAGTTGTCCGTTCTTGCTTATCAGGATAGAAACTGTTGGGAAAAGAACCTGGATTTTCAATTTCAGTTACTTTCATATGTTATAGAAAAGGTTATCCTTTTGTTCTAATGGAAAATTTATTACGATTTCCAAGGGTACTGAAAATATACAGATCAGTTCCTACAGGTAGGAACAGATAGCATGGGTCTTTCAGGCATCTGCTTTAAAAAAAAAAAAAAAAATTGAAAGAAAAAGAGAAAACATTGAGAACTAGCTTGATAGCAGGCAGTGTTGCCTTATATTTGCTGGTCCTTCTCTAGCTGTTTCAATCTCCTGACCAACCCATGCAGAGAAATGAAGAAACAGTGTGGTTCCTCCTGTCTTTCTCTTTCAGTTCTTCCTTCTAATGTTCAAGTTAGATAAGCACATGACTATCATTGCATCTCTATATCTTCCACCAGGAAGTGTCAAAACTACTGGCCTTGGGACTAGGAGGAAGACCGTAAGAGAAAGAGAGGCGGCAGGGAAATTGGAGCGGGTGTGTCTCTATCTTAAAGCCACTGCTGAGCTTACACCACAGTATTTCGGTGTCTGTAGGGCGGAGGAGGCAGCACAGTGCCTGGCTTCAGCGAGAACTCAGAGAGGTATTCAGGATTCTCTGCCACAATAGGCCGGATCCGTCCATTTTGTTTATAAAAATATTTTGTGCTGTACTCTTGCAGGTAGTCTGGGTGCTGAAGGGTGCTGCGAGGTGGCAGGCTGTGGTTCCAGTAGTCAGGGTTGTCGAATGCTTTCTTGGCCTTCTCTGGCACAGACAGTACATTGTTCTTCAGGTACTCGGCATTCCCCAATGCGTTGGCAAAGGTGTTGAGGTACAGTGGCTCATTCACATACTCATCCTCTGCCTTGGGTGGACCATTGGAAGCGTTGTGATATTCGGGATTATCCAAAGCTTGAAGGTCTCCGTTTTTCCTCCGAGAAACAAAAGGGTTCTCCTCCACAGGGTTCAGGTATTCTGGGGGAATACACAAATATTAGTCAATATCTACTTTCTGGAATGTGTTAATCAGATCAAGGTTGTGCAGGATGGTTAGCTTCTTTTTCCAGAACAATTAAGCCATGGATTTGTTTTCATGAGTTTTCACAAAAACCATTTTGTTGATTACTTCATTGATTACTTTTGTCATATGACAAAAGAGTAGGAAAGAGTAGGTGGGCCAAAACTATTAATGACTAAAGAGTCAGGAAGCAGACTTCCTGTCTTCTAGATTGTTTCTCTTTCCTCCTAATTGCATTTGTTTCTCCTACATAAGAGGCTACTTGTTTAAATCCTTCCGTTTTCTAAAAGTCAGTATTTTTTGTTGTTGTTGAAAAATAGGACAATCTAACCAGGTTAAAGAGCTTTGAAATGTGGAGAAATTAGAATTTCTAAAAGGGTACTGGAAAATCAAAATGTCTATAGCTTAACTCCATGCCAAGATGAATGGATGAAGTGAAGGAACGACATTTTTCAGTCTGTGTGTTTTGCTATAATGTCCATATAGGTAAAATGGATTTGATTACAGATGTTCCCCAGAAAGCTTTACACATAGGAAAGGAAATATCTAAAGAAAAGACTCAACTAATAAAACCTGATTGATATCTAACATGCTGCTAAATTGACTTGCGTGACAATACATATGCCTAAGAATAAAGTGTAATTAGAACATTCACTTCCACTAGCTAACCATAATCACAAACTAACAAGCTGTTAGTTTGATCATATGAAGTAACTGTTTTGTAGGTTGAAACCATTCATAGTAGTGGCTGTTTTGCATGATTCGATCTAATAAATTACTAAAGAATATTGACCTGGAATTTTTTAAAAAGGTGTTAATCAATGCTGCTCTTCTTAAATTTAATTCCACCTCTATGTATAGAGTATATATAGGCCTATATTCCCACATACAGTAGACCTTCTTGCCCTCTCTTTTAATGTAGACACAGATATGACATTTTAGCTATTCCTATTTTGGTGTTGGGGCAGGGAAAGAGCACAACTGTTCATTGAGATGCCACCATTCTGAAACAAACTTTCTTTTCTATCCCCTATACTTAGCCAGGCAAGTAGAGAAAAATAATCTCATCAAGTCAGGGTGATTTGCCCCTGGATATAGGCCTGCTTGATATACTTAAGTATTTAGCATAATGGGCAAGTTAAAAGATAGTAATGACTATCCCACCATCATATATTGGAATGACAGGAACTTAAGTCATGCTCACAACAACCCTGTAGGGAAGGAAGTGGAAGCCATATTTTTTTCAGCTTTATAAACAGAAAACCTAGATTAAATGATGTATGAGGGATACAACTAGTACGGAACTAGAATTCAGATCGAAAATCCCCTGAGCAGTCTTCTTGTTCTACTGTACTATTTTCATTATTGTCCCTAAAGGAGTAGGGAGTACTTTTCACATCATAACATGTTGGAATTTGAATGGTTTTCAAAGCAATGGTCATTTTAAGAAAAATGTGTGGAAAAACACCCCAAAAAACAACAACTTCTAAGGGAAGCAGAATTTGATTTTCCTTACCAGTTTCCTGAAGCCTCTTAACTGAAAGTGTAAGAATGTCTGTACTAACATTCTCTGCTCTCTGAGAAGTAGGCTGGAGTACAATAATCTTCTATAGAAGCTTATACTCAGGGACAAAATCAAGGGATGCTCTAGAGTGAGTGTTTAGATTCACTTAGAAGTCTTGTGTTTTCTCCTAGAAGGTTCATATTACCTTTGCTCAATCCAATCTACTTATCTATCTACTTGGAGAAACAACTCTATGGTTAAGGTGAAACTATTCCCAGAGAGTATTGTACTTTTAGGGTGATCTGCCAAACCTTCTCAAAACTTATATTTGTGTCAGAACTGGGCTGCAATCCAATTCTTCCAAAGCATCTAATTCTTCAGTATCATAATACCTATCCATGCCTCTACATAGATATTCTTTAATAAGTTATTTACAATGTGTACTTAGGGATCCCTTAATTGCATTTTATAAAATTAAACATAACCATATATTCAAAAGCATAATGGGCCCTCATATGGAGTCTTAAAATAAAGTTTACTTGACTTTGAAGACCCTGAGACACAATCATCAGTTTTTAATAACAATTATCCATCTTCTCCTTCATGTGATGCTGTTACCATGGAAGGAAAGTGGATTTTTCAAAGTTGAAAAAGTCATTTGATTTGTATGTCTAATATTTCTGCTAGTAAATTTGTACAGTCATCGCTGAGCTTTGTAGAACCACAAACTGAATTATTTTCAAGACATGATGGTATACCTATAAGTAAACGTAGTGTCAGAACTTTAATTTTTGAAATGTATCATATAAGGAATCATAATCTCCTATAATGACCAACATCACCCAAATGATGCAAGATTTTAAAGAACTGACCAAATCTTTTATTGGTACCATCAAACTACCAGCCTTGGGGCGCCTGGGTGGCTCAGTGGGTTAAAGCCTCTGCCTTCGGTTCAGGTCATGATCCCAGGGTCCTGGAATCGAGCCCCGCATCGGGCCCTCTGCTCAGCAGGGAGCCTGCTTCCTCCTCTCTCTCTCTGCCTGCCTCTCTGCCTACTTGTGATCTCTGTCTGTCAAATAAATTAATAAACAAAATCTTTAAAGAAAAAAATACCAGTCTTTATGAACTCAACAGTAAGTTCAAGAAAAGCCATCGCTCTAAAATCTTGCGATGTGCTACCTCACTCAAATATTCAATAGAGAAATTCCTATGAAGGTAAGTTTAGATCAGTGCTTCTCAGGCTTGATTGCTCATAAGAGTTACATAGGGATCTTGTTAAAAATCATATTCCTAATCAGGTGGTGCCTGAGATTGATGGTGTAAATGTTGCGGATTTGGACAGTATGCTACAAAGAGCAACAGCCCAGGTCTTTTCTGGGTCACAAATGTTATGACGTCCAGTGGTTTGGCAATTTCCCTTCTATATTATATTGCTCATTTTGATGGAAGTGAAATGCAGAATGACAATCATTTCTGCACATTTTGTTTGTACCTTGTTTAGGTTTATCTCGCATAGGGGTCATGTAACCCTCTTCATCCAGCTCTCCTCGTGGGCTCCGTTCCGGGGCAAACACTGTGGGATCAGCGCTGTACCTCTGGGTGCTGCTATCCTCCTGGACGTGGGGTGCCGCTGGCTTGCGTAGGGTGCCGTTACAACAGGAGTCATCAAAAATCTCGGCTGTAGCCCCCTGAGCAAGTGGTGCTTCTGGGATGGTGCTGGTTGTGGCTCTGTAGGGCACAGGCACTCCTTGCTCAGCAGCAAACCCCCCATCTCGGTATACAAACTGGTTCTGTCAATAGAGAGACACATTTAGACAGAAGTTATTAGAAATAGCTGTAGAAAAGAAATAGCCAAAAGGATAGTAAAACTTGTCTTTCAGACAAAAGCCACAGTTTCTTAATTGAGTGTTTCCCCTGAATAGCTAACAAATTTGAGTTACAACCACCTAAAATTCCAATTTTTCTTTAAAAGTGAACCTGGGGAAAGAATTTGGAAATACATATTTAAATGTCACTGACCACCCAGCACATGATCTCATATAAACTATTTCATGTTATTTTCCGCAGTCGCCTATTTTTGATATATAATTCAAATTTCATGACAAATGAAAACGTTATTAACTGTAGAAAGTTGACATTAAGAACAGAGATTTGGATGGTGATATTTTCTTCTTGCCTTCTCTTCTGTGGTTGCTCTGAGTTTGAGTCCTCAAGTACCTAACTAGGGGAATCATTACAGAGACTCTGACTTTTTAGCACACAACCTATAATCATGGAGATAATGATAACCTCCTCAACGAGAAACATAATTTCTGAGTCCAGGTAAGCCCTTCAGGTAAAAGTTGAAAGCTACTGTTGATGCATGGTATCTCAGTTTTGGATTATCTACTGAGATAAAACATATCCACAAAGCCAGCTATACAATCTATAGCAAATTCTTAACTCACTGTTGGCAAAAGCAAAATGAGGAAACTATGGGGAGACAAGAGAGAAGAAACATGATAAGCAAAGACCAAAAATACTAAAAGATGAAGGTTGATCATGAAATACTTACTCCTGACATGGGGGTGTAGGCAGGAGGAGGGCTGTGTCCAATTTCACTCTAATAGGAAAGAAAAATGGAATGATGGATATAATAAGAGGTAATATGAATGAAAAGAAAAAAAAACGAAAAAAGAAAAGAAAAGCCACATGAATTGTATGAACTGAAGGGGAAAACATGCACAACAGTGAAGTTTGCTAAATGGTAAAATTTTATGCTCTCTGGCTACAAATGAGTTAATTTTTATGTTTTGAGAATATTAAATATTTTAATTCAATCCCTGAAAAGAAAAATTATATAGAAATAAAGTAAAATTTTAAATAGATTAAAAATTAAATTGGTAATGAATATTTTTCTGATTAACCCTAGAAGAAAGACAAAAATGGTAAATAATTAACTACAGTTTTAAATAAAGAACCATTTCCTTCCTTACTTGTTGTATGGCTAAAATGGCTATATACCACAGCACTGATTCTCTCTTATAAAAAGAAACTTATCCACAAGAAGATGGAAGTGGATTTCAATTTTCCTTGAATAATTTTTATTACCAAGTTACATTTATTTTCACTATTGCAGCAAAGCGTCAATTTCTTAGCCTTTCCTTTTAAAAAAAATACATACCATTTTCTCCTCAGTCTGATTTTTTGTAAGTTAAGAAACAGAAGAAAATCTTGGAAAATTAATTATGTTCCTGGAACTATGCTTTGCATACATTACTTTCATGTATTTAGAATCAGTTAAAATTAGATTTCAGTTTTAAAAAAAGGGCATCTGTATTCTTATAACTTAATACTCCATCCTATGGGCTAAATAAAAGTGGATATAAAAATATGATAAAATATTAAGGACAATATTCCTTAGGGTAAGTAGAGGGGGTTATATGAATATCAACACCATTTCTTAATAATATACATATTTTACATACATTTCTTGAGAACCTACTATCTATGTGCCAGGCACTTTTCTGGACAACGGAGATAATGAATAATGCAGATAAAAATCGTTTCTTTTATGAAGTTTGCATTCTCTGCATACATGTATGAAACTTGGCTAAGTATTATTCCAGGCCAGTGTTTTTACAATTTAGATATTCATAAAACAAACTCTAAGAAAAATATGGTTCCATGGAGATTAACTGTTTAATGTAAATTAATAGCAACCAGATAACACAATATCTCATAATTAACGTAGTCCCCTGGACTAATCAAGGACCAAGGTCTGAAATCTTACATTAAGTTTACATTTTAACTCTCTTCAAAACTTCAGTCATTTACATGATGGGATAGAAACTATTGATCTCTTTCCTTCTCTAATAACTAAGAACGTCTTGAAGATATATTTAGAGACATATTTAATATGCTAAGCATAGGAGGTAGTATTGTCCAGTAGACACATTGTTTTATGATTTGTCAGATCTCTAGCCCCAGTCCCAGTTACAAGTGATGTGGTCAGTCGTGAAACACCTCAGATCTCATTTTTATCCTTGGCCCCTCACTCCTTGTATCTTAATGAAGACAAAGAAAGAAGGTGTATATAAATGAACTTGGTAAGCTGTGTAATACTATAAAAACGTAGAGATAGATAAAAATTTAAGCATTCACATCTGCTAAATCAGATTTTTAAAGTCAATCAATCAAAATGCCAAATCTACTTATCAAGAGGCATTTAAAAATGCTTCCTCGGGCACCTGGGTGGCTCAGTCTGTTACGCAACTGCCTTCACTCAGGTCATGATCTCAGGGTCCTGGGGTCGAACCCTGCCCTGGGCTCCCTGTCTGCTTCTCTCTCTCTGCCTCTCCTGCTGCTCATGCTCTCTCTCTCTCTCTCAAATAAATAAATAAAATATTTTTAAATTTTTTTAAAAAATTAAAAAAAAAAGCTTCCCTGTTTTCCATATCATTTTCAGTATAGGTATATTTTGTTATCTTTTAGAAAGATATAAAATTAAATACATTTTTTCATAAAATTTGAGGGGAAATTTGCCATATAATCCAGTGATATGGAAAATAGAGGGATGGTATGGGAAATACGACTAGTGCCTGGCGGAACTTTATCATATTATAAACCTTGGCCTTTACCCTATCATTAAACCCCAATTATTGAGCAAGCATTTGACAAATATTTATTAAACCTCTACCGTGAAAGCACAGGATCTATGGTAGATGCTGGAGATACCATGAGACACAAGGAGAGACAGAGATAGAACCACTGGCCTTTTGCAATTTATACTGAACGATCAAATATTACTTGAGATTATCAGAAGAAAGGCAAGAGTAAGACGAAGCTGCAGTGAATTTATTTGAATTCTATGATTGCATATTAGAAGACAGTTATTCCAAAATATGAGTAATTACTGCTGTTCCTTTCACCTCTTACATTACAACAGTTGCCGTACTGGGTCGCGTTGGACTAGAATCACAGCTCAGGAAACGGCACTGACAGCTATGGCTATCCAGTTTGGATTTTATAAAACTTGAGGGATAAGTGATGAAAGGAAAAACCCGTAAATCATTCTTTATCAGGAACTACCTTATTATATATATTCATGATCTGGGCTAGACTGCCTTCGATTGTAAAAAGGTTGTGTTAAAAATAACTGGACCTCTTGGGGCACCTGGGTGGCTCAGATGTTTGGGCATCTGCCTTCGGCTCAGGTCATGATCCCCGGGTCCTGGGATCGAGTCCTACATCGGACTCCCTGCTCAGTGGGGAGCCTGCTTCTCCCTCTGCCTCTCTCTCTCTGACTCTCATGAATGAATAAACAAAATCTTAAAAAAAAAAAAAAAATAACTGGACCTCTTGAAAAGAGGCCATGCCATATTAGAATGCAGGCACTGTCCCTGCTTTGACAAGTCTTTCCATCAGCCAAATCTGGATCTGGACATGCTGCCAGATACCACCACAGTAACAGGAGTGTCTTCATGCTCTTTCTAGTTTTCTGCATTAAAATGGAAAAAAAAATGCTAAGCAAAATCCCTTTAGCATTCATTGTTTTTAGGGTTACTGGCTGCTTTTTATTTTTCTGTTTCCATTTTTTTATTTGCTTTTTTTTTTTTTTTCTATTTTCCATGATAAAAAGCACCTCATTCATTTTCTCCCTGGAAGGGCAATGCAGCTACAAGGGAACATCTGTGAGGCCAATTAGCCGGGCTGGAAATGTGATATAATTGTTGTTTAAATATATTTAAATTACATGTTAATCACTATGTCATAATTTATAGGCTTTGAAAATAACTTTTTGTACTTAAGAGCCAAGCCAGATTTTACTTGTTTTTGCTGTTTTTAGTTTGTAACAAGCTCTTCTCATTCCCCGCCCCACTCCCTTCCAATTCCCCACACTGGAAGAGCTGAACTTTTAATATGGGAAAGAATGACAGCTGCAAGTAAATTGGTTGAGTAAAAATTAAGATCCCCACAGTCAGAACACGCTGGAGTGACCTTAAAGTTCTGAGCAGAACAAAGCAGTGCTCTCAGTTAAAAGGCTTTTGTTTTTTTTTCATTGTGCCATTTTCTGCTGTCCATCAAAGCCCAGCTTTGTGGATCTTCAGGAAGTACAGAGTGCCTCTGTTCAATTAGCTGGTAAGGGGATTTACTGTCAGCAGCACAGAGCTAGAAAGAGGTGGGCTATAAACTGGCAGGTGATAGGGAGTTTGTTTCTGGTGGGGGGGATTTGTAAGGGTGATGGAGAGAGTCAAGTTTAATTTTGTGGCCCTATCACCCGGACATTGTATGATTAACTTGGACTCAGATGCCAGAGATTATAGAGAAGGAAAATATCAGCAAATGTATCAAATATGGTGTTAAGTGCACTTTGCATACATCATGTTCTGAAATCTGCATTTCAGTTGAATGATAAAAATATGAAACTGTCTTATTACAGACACTGTATTTCTCATATTTATTGTTTTAATTAGAACATTACATTGTTTAATATTGCTCCTGGGGAATTTTAAATTGTTAACCAGATGGGTTTTGTCTTTTAATACTTTTTTTAAATATCATACAAATCTATGTTCTCAGGAAACAAAAATACATACTTAATGCCTAACCGCTATCTAAATTAAACATGCACTTAATGAGAGAGGGTTTTATTTTTTATCTTTAGATAATTGTTCCTATTAATATTAACTATAGGATTAAAGTTTCTAGGGTCAAGACACACTCTAAATCCTTTTAACTAAAACAGAATGTATCTCTGTAAGATGTTACTAATCCATCAGCACTCATTTATTACCTAAACACATGCCAC